ATGTAACAATCACATGCCAGGACAAGCAAAATTCTTCTTGTTAGGCCTTCATTTTCAAGAAACTTTAAATTGAGATTGATGAAAAGGAAATATATCTCAAAGCTGACTTTCTTTTCCTTGGTGAAAACGAATCTCTTCTTTTTCTTTTTCAAGACCACAGCTTGAAAACACTAAACGAGTTTCAGAAATTTCAATGATCAGAGACTTCATCACAGTGACGTATCAAAGTCAAATCTCTCACCAGAACCTGAAATCAAGTATGAAAACAACAAATTTCACTCGATCTAATCCCCTTAACAGATGCATTTGGTTCATTGTCATTGTTCTGCTACTCAACCAAAAAATTCCTCAACTTTCTGGCCATGATCATATAGAATGATCTGAATATAATCATCTCAAATCAGTACTCAAGAGAAATTTCTTCTAACACTAACATGATCACATCCATCAATATACATAAACAATTGTAAAGCTGGAGAAATTTATTTCGAACAAGCAGGGAGAAGCGAATAAACATACTGGAGACTCGATCGAAGACGTCGGCGGCGGATTCTCCCTCCGGGAACCGGTAGAAAAACCGGCCAAACCTCTCTCTGACCTTTTTCGTCGCTCTCATTCGCTCTTTAACCTGAAAATTCCCAAAATCCTGTTCTCGAATCCGACATTCTTCGCGAACACCAATCACACGGCGACGCGAGAACGACCTTCCGATCTCCCGTAGAGTAGATCTCGTCCGATCGTACGGCGAAACGTAGAAGTAAACACGCCACTCCGGCGAAGAAGAATTCGAAGAGATCAAATCGTGTAAACGAGCTCCGGCTTCCTGCGCCTGAAGCAAACCGGATTCCGTTAACTGGATCTTATGATCCGGCGTCGTTGTATACGCCGCCGTGTCGAGATTCCCTTCCGATTCTCCGTGCCGTACAAGGATGATCCGCTTCGGAAGCAGTTTATTGTCCGGACTCATGGATGATTCAAACGAAGAACAAAATTTTCCTAGGGTTTCTTCTTCCCCAGATTTTCCAGGAATCTGAGAAATTGGTGTTGAAATTTCAGATCAAATACATAAATGTGAGTATCCAATTTCTTTGAAACTATCCAATTTTATTCTTTCTTCCAAGACTTTGCTTTTGCATTACCTTCTTGCTCAAGCTTAAGCACAATCGAGAGTTCCAA